AACCATTTGTATTTCGGCCTGCATTCGCCATGCTCAATAAACCCTCGCGATCATGCTGCAGAAATGAAATCATAAAAAAAAAAAAAAAAAAAAAATCAAGGTTAGAAGTGTTTGTCTATTCTTTTACTGACCATTCACATAAAACTGGTGCGGAGAGTTCTATCTAGATCAAACTATTTTTACTTTTAAGATTTTTAAACTACTTTTTACTCTTCTGGCCAGGTGTGGTGGCCCAAGCACTTCAGGAGGCTGAGGCAAAAGGAGCACTCCAGTCCAGGAATTTGAGACCAACATGGGATACTGAGAGACCTTATCTCTACAAAAAATAAGAAAGATTAGCCAGATGTGCTAGAGTGTGCCTGTAGTCCTAGCCACCTAAGAGGCTGAGGCAGAAGGACTGCTTAAGCCCAGGAATTCAAAGCTACAGTGAACTATGGTTTTGCCACCACATTCTAGCTTGGGTAATGGAGTAAGACTCTGTCTCTAAAAAAAAACAGTGAAATTTTTTAAAAAGCAGCTTTTAATTCCTTCAATTCACAAAATATACCATATTTAATCACTTCTTAAACGTTAAGAAAACTTTATGAACCCAAATAAGATAAAAGAGACAGTGGGGGGGGGGGAGTTTCTAAATTAGCCATCCTGAGAAGATGCTTATTATTTGCCTTTCAGATAAAGATTTAGCATTAAGGAAATCTAGTAATATACTCTGCCCTCTTTATAATGGATGCTTTTTTTCTGGTAGACATGAACAGAATTTTTTTTTTCATTTTTTAAAATTTTGTTTATTATTACTGTTTACCAGTGGGGAGATGTAGTTTATTTACACCAGCAGCCATAGGGGCAAGAGGAATACAGTTAGTCAGCTATCTGTATAGAATGGACTACTTATGCACTGAACAGAATTCTTAAATGGGCCCAACATTGAATCTTCCTTCACGTATCAATAAACTAAGAACAGTAATAAAATATTGAATTTATTTACTTATTCATTTTTTGAGACAGGGTCTCAATCTGTTGCTCAGGCTGAAGTGCAGAGTTGCCATCATAGCTTGCTACAACCTTAAACTCCTGGCCTCAAGTAATCCTCCCACCTCAGACTCCTCAAAGTGCTAGGCAGGGGCCATCGCATTTGGCTTGGAATGCTGAATATAAACAAGACATTCAGTTAGATATTTTCTTAATATTGAAAAGAATCCAAATCTTAGAGCTTTCATCTCAGATCAATCACCTCTTTGCACAGTGCTCAAAATACTGCATACATCTTGAAATCAAAATTCTACCTTGGTATCACAATCTTGTTCAAAGGTTCTATGAAATCTATTTTCTTCAACCTTTCACTTTACTTCTGAGGCTAAGTGTATTTTTTGTTGGGGCATAAATTATTAACACTCACAGTATAATGTCATGTCTCATCTCATTCTACCCCTTCAATCTAAATCAAATTCACCTTTCAAAGCCACCAACTTTGTCGAAGTCAAGAACTATGTCATTTTAACTGACCTTTTCATCAATGCAATTATCACATAATCCTAGTTTTCAACCTTCTGGTAACTTCCTTTATCACAATATTAACTAGAATATTCAAGTTATTTCTTCAGCTTCCCACCGCCCTTGTCTTTTCCCACCCAGATCCCTTCTTCAATTCTGCATCTATATTTTAGTTCCTGCCTAACCAAATTTTAGCCACGATGCTAGTCCCTATTAGCACAACCTAAGTACTGATTCCTCCTCAATGTCATCCCTAATACTTTGGACCACATAAGTCACATTTTTCTTCTATAGTACCCACATAAAGTTAAGTGCTATCAATGTTATACAAGTAAGAACAGTCAATCAATTTAGCATTCATTTGCAATCTGTTCTTTTATTGTTCACTTGTCCCGTATGTTTCATCCTCATCCCTGCAGTAGAACTACAAATGCCTTGTCATCAAGGTCTTTTCACTATTACAGACCCTTCAATGACAGTGACAGTACAGTGCTTATAGTTGTAGTCAATTACTGTCATCTTCTTTTCAAATTTTCCTAATTACCTTGCTCATATTCCTCACTTCCAATGATACTGCTTTCTTTTTGTATTTACATGTTCATTATCACAACTTGAATGATGCACTATATCCCAATTGCATCTTGGAAAAACGAGGATAAGAAGACACAGGCACCATCAGGAGCTCAGACATTAGCCACATCCACTATGTCTGCCAATCTCCCTACATCCCGGTTTTAGATGATAGTTTTTCAATCTTCAAATTCAAAGATACAGATGCACAAGTTACCATCCTTCAGATAATAAGAATCCTTTTCCTGAAACAACCTTGCCATACGATACCCGTATTTAAAAACTTGTCAGCTTAACTAAAAAGCATGTAAAACTAGATCATGCTTGAAATAACTCCAGTATTTTTGCCAAATAAAATCATAAATGGGTAAAAAATTCCCATACTAAACACCTATATTTACAAATTCCTTTTACGTAACAAGAATCTAAGCATAGTTCAGACTTTAATGCCTTTATCTAACAAGTATTTCAGACATAAAACAATTTTTTTATCAGCAATAACATGCATTTTTTTCTATTTTTACCTTATAATAGAAATTTTCATCTTCAAATTTTTCACCATAAATACTTTCTCCACCGGTTCCATCCTGATTTGAGAAATCTCCACCCTGAATCATAAATTTTTTAATAACTACAAAAAAAGAAAATGGTGAGTAACTAAGACATGAATATCAGCAATATTAACCAAGCAATGCAATAATTAAGACAACTTCATAAAGTATGACTCGAGTCACGCCACTCTCCTGTTTGTCTTTCTCCATCCATCCCCACAACTCTAACCTCTTAGGCCTTTCCACAATCTGAGTCCAACCTAACTGTACTGCCTGATTGCCTACTAGCATTGAAAACATTCGTTCACATGGCACCTCCCTACAAAATTATCACTAAAATCCCCAAGTTTTATCTCCTTGTTTTTATCCTATGGCTCTGGTTTTTTTTTGAGACAGATTCTCAATCTGTCACCCTAGGTACAGCGCTATGAGCATCATAGCTCACAGCAACCTCAAACTCTGGAGCTTCAGCAATACTCTTGTCCCAGCCTCTCAGGTAGCTGGGACTACAGGTGCCTGCCACAATACCTGGGTGTTTTTTTATTTAGTAAAGACAGAGTCTCACTCTCGCTCAGGCTGGTCTCCAACTTGTGAGCTCAAGCAATCCACCTTCCTCAGCCTCCCAGAATGCTAGGATTACCCGCTGGCCACTCCCACAGTATCTTGACTCTTATAACATTACATCATAATGGTCTGTCTCTTCCAGCAAACAATGAACTCCTCTTAAGTACAACTGTCCCGTTTTTCTTCCCTGTAACTATGTGAATGGCTGTGCACATTATGAGTTACTCAATGAGTTACTTGTAGATTTATTATACCATAATGGAAATACTTCAGTAAATATTATCACTTTTTGAACCAAGGTTTAAAAACCTCCCCCCACCTTCAGAGATCCCCAGGGCTCCTCAGATACAGCAAGTGGTTGTATCACAATAGCAAAGATAAAAGACATAAACAGAGTCTGGAGGAATCCATCTGGAGGTCTCCTCACGCCCTCTCCCTCCCATGAAGGGTCAAAGAACACATACTTCCCCAGCAAGGGAAATACAGCCACACACGTTCAATGTTTGGGCCTAGAAGAGCCAATGGGAAACTCAGCACCCATTTACTGAGCACTAACACATAGGCACTCTCTACCTAGCATGTACCAAAATTCCAGACTCCCAAAAGGAAAAGTGCATGTGGTTATAATTTAACTTATTAGTCTATTCATTAAACATATATTTACTGAATTCCTATTCAACAAATATACTAGATTCTTTTTTTTATTATTTCTTTTTTTTTTTTTTTGGAGACGGCATCTCAAGCTGTTGCCCTGGGTAGAGTGCCGTGGTGTCACAGCTCACAGCAACCTCCAACTCTTGGACTTAGGCAATTCTCTTGCCTCAGCCTCCCAAGTAGCTGGGACTACAGGTCCCTGCCACAATGCCCTGCTATTTTTGTTGTTGTTGTTGTTGTTGTTGTCATTGTTGTTTTGGCAAGCCCAGGCTAGATTCGAAACTGCCACATGGTTGGCACCCTAGCCACTGAGCTACAGGCACTGAGCCTAATTTTGTTTGTTTGTTTGTTTGTTTGTTTGTTTGAGACAGAGTCTCACTATATTGCCCTCAGTAGAGAACTGTAAGGTCACAGCTCACAGCAACTGCAAACTCTTGGGCTTAGGCGATTTTCTTGCCTCAGCCTCCCAAGTACGTGGGACTACAGGCGCCTGCCACAATGCCTGGCTATTTTTCTGTTATAGCTGTCATTGTTGTTCAGCAGTCCCAGGACAGGTTCAAACCCGCCAGCCCCGATGTATGTGGCAGACATCCTAAAAAGGTAAGAACATGTAGTCCCTCAACACACAGTTGAGGGAAACCAACAATCATTACACAAAGGTATGATTACAAAGTGTGATAAGCAGTACAAAGTGGCATATTTTAGTCATTTATTACCAGCATGTCCACAACGCCAAATTTTCAGATCTGTAGCCTTCCCAAAAAACCATGACTAAGAAGTAAGAATAATGTTTTCTGTCAGCAAGCAAACTACCTAAGGTCAGTTAATCATGGTCACACCCTTCCTTTTTCAATCATATCATCTTGGAGTGAAGGAGGGAGAGGCCTAGCAAGGCTAGGGTAGTCCTTTTCTTACTTCCCCGTAAGCAATTCCTTCTCTGATTGCCCAGCCTATATGAAACTGAGGTATTGTACCAGATGTGAAAGGGTCCTTTTGGATACTAACAGGACTCTCTAACCCCTAATTCATGTTTTCTTCCCTAACCCCTAAGAACAGGAAGTATTTATCTATGTGAAGAATAATCAGAGTCAGAAAATGTATACATACTTCGATGGAAAGGGCATCCTTTGAAATAGAGAGGTTTCCCAGTCGTAGATCCAATCCCTTTTTCTCCTGTACATAATGCACGAAAATTTTCTGCAGTTTTGGGTACGATATCTGCAAACAATTCTAAGACAATTCGACCAACTAAAAGAAAAGAAAATGAATTCTTGTCAGTATGCAAAACAACCAAATGGGCAAATGATGAAAGACAGTTGGTGTAATGATGGTGAAAGCTGGCTCATGAATTACCAAGTTCCCTTTTACTATCAGGTTGTTCTTCTCTTGCAATCATGAACTCAGTGTGTTGTTACCAACTACAGCCACCATGCTATAAAAGCATCTTGGACTTATTCCCCTTTCTAATTGAAATTTATGTATCCTTTGACCAACATTTCCCCAGCCCCTGGCACCCACATTCTACTCTCTACTATGAGGGCAATTTTTTTCAGTATCCATATTTAACTGAGATCAGCCAGTATTTGTTTTCCTGTGTCTGTCCTCATTTCATTTAACTTAACATCCTCCCTATCCATCCATGTTGTTAAAAATGACAGGATTTCATTCTTTTTTAAGGACTATTATTCCACTCTATGGAATTTTCTTTATACATTCATCTGTTGATGGATAATACATAGATTCTATTACCCTGCCTATCATGAGTGATGCTGCAATAAACATGGCAGTACAGATATCATTTCCACACACTTTGGATATATATTCAGTAGTGGGATTGGTGGACCTTACTGTCATTTTTCTAATATTCAGATTTAAACTACCTAAGGTTTACTATCATATATCTAAGTAAATTTGAAACATCATACAAAGCATCCTAACCAATTACAGTAGCCAGCAGACTGGCACCACACAAGGGACACAATGAAGTACAAGTCATTTCAAACCCTGAATAATTTCCTCAAGAGATACTCAGAATCTCTAGTCACAAAACAACTAGCAAGACAAAGTGAAATACCCTTTAAGAGGCCAGGTTAACCAAGTTTTATGCATACCTGTAGCCTCTGTGCTTTGTGGGGCCTACTGCAGCCTCCAAAGCAAAAGCTGAGGAAGTACCACCTCCTCCAGAAAGCTCCTAAAGAGATGGAAATAAACCTACCACAAGTTCCAAAACAAACTGAATGTACGTATAAATCTGTGCGTCCTGAGAATGCATTCAGACAGGTTCCAGAAAACCAGGCCAACAAAGCAACATCCTCCCTAACTCACGAGGCCTTAGGAACCGCTGAGCGCCCTGTAACCCGGGCAACCACACGGCTAAGTAGAGTTCTCTTTCCCAAGGCCAAAATACAGAAAATGTTCACCTATTTTACTGCACATCGAAGTTAGGAATCGGTAACTAAGGAAAAGCAATAAGCAAACAAGTCGCCTTAATTTATAAAAAGCATGGCAGGTGCTGATATATATTTTTTGTTTTGCCAAAACAGACAGCGTGCCTGAAGCCCAGCGAGCGCATATCCCAGGAGATCTGAACTGGCTCACTGGGAATCATAAAAGAGTCCTACTTCATTTCAACTTAGTAGTACAAGGAGGCCGGAAAGTGGAACAAGAGCAGGAGAGACAAACTTAAAGGCCGCCGCAACTTCCCAACCAGAAATTTCCAGAACCTGTGTACGACCGACGGCACTGGCACAAGGGCGCTGGCTCGACCCGGCCCTGGACGCCCGGGCCTGTTCCCGCAGACCCCACTAGGCCGCCATGCCCCCTCCCCCCACCTCCAGGACACCAGGCAGCCCCCGGCCGATTCGAGCCCCCCGCCCTCGGACTCCTCCGAATCACGCCTTCTTGAGGCCTTTTCTCGAGCGTCAGACTCTGCTCACCTCGCTCCCCTCCGATGTCCACGTCAAAGAAGACCCGGGGATTACTGGGGTTGGAGGGCTTAGCCTGGGGGGACGGGTGCGACATATCCACATACAGATGCGTTAGGAAGCGGGATCCAGACACCTCGCGGCAAACACCCGCAGCTCAAGCTCTAGAGCGCCACTCTCTGGGGGAAGGCCGGCAGCGGCGCTGACCAGCCCCTTCCGGCGCGAGTTCCGGAAGCCGCAGCCTGACTTCCGGCACCGCCTCCCCGCGGCGTTTCTAGGGCCTGAGTGGTGCATAGGCCGCGATGCTCGGGTTCCGCCTCTCCTCCTTCGCTGAAGTTCCCAGTTCGCTTAATTCCTGCCTTAGCTCCGCTGTGGCGTGCAACTTCTCTAAAGCTCAGTTTGCTCGTCCAGAAAGGGAAAATAAAAATGCTTACCTAGGAGTTTGTAGGTAAGCATTTTTATTTTCGAAGATTAAAGACGTAAATCACTAAGCACAATACCTGACATAAACTGGCGGTACTTAGTCGGAGCCTTATTGCCATATTGTTACAATCTGGTGTTCACGTTTCATTGTAAGTGATACAGGTTAGACGAAAGGCTGCAAAGAGCTGATGCTGACAGCCCAGAAGAGGGCACAGTTTTAATTCCTAATAAAACTGTTTTATTATAGTCCACTTTTTCATCATGTGAATTTGTCTAAAGTATTTCACCTGTACATGAGGAGACCCATTTTGGAGAAAAGTGGTACCTTCCCTGCGTAGGTGCATTGATCTATAATTCCGTTGGAGCCCAGGGCTTTGGATTTGGCCTCAGGCTTACTTTATCAGTAAGGCATAAGGTACACTTAGATGCTTACCCTTTTTTTTTTTCCTAATGAGAAGTAAAAAGACACGGTAGATGAATGCAGCACTCACAGAGCATGTCTCAAAAGCCAGGAGTTTTGTGTCGAAAGCAGCAGCCAAAGTGGCTTTTTGGAAGGAAACACCAGTGCTAATTTCCCCCTATCAGAACTGCCACCATCCATCCACATGAAGGCTCATGTCCTATTTGATGCCTGGTCTTAAGATATGTAAAAATCAGAAAGGTTAAAGAACAACTGGTTCTTAGTCTCAACTTGAAGCAGCCTATGAAATTATATACTAGTCTAAGCATTAAAGTTGATCTTAAAAAGAAAAAAGAAAATGCAATGGGTTCACGTTCTGACTACAATATATACTAGGAGTGTGACCAAAGAGCAATCACTTAATTTCTCTGAACCTGCCTCCTTTTCAGTAAAGTGGAAAAGAACAGAGTATGAGAATAGAAATGATTGATAGAATAGATAATGTGCATGCATTTGCCTATTATCTCCAACATTTTTATACAAAGATTCTTCTTTTTAAATTCACTATGAAGCCAGGCACGGTGGCTCACATGTGTCATCCTAGCACTCTGGGAGGCCGAGGTGAGTGGATTGCTTGAGCTTACAGGTTCCAGACCAGCCTGAGCAAGAATGAGACCCCAGTTTCTAAAAATAGCTGGGCATTGTGGCACCTTTCATCCCAGCTACTTGGGAGGCTGAGACAAGAGAATCACTTGAGCCCAAGAGTTTGAGGTTGCTGTGAGCTATGGTGCTATGGCACTCTATCAAGGGTGACAAAGTGAGACTCTGTCTCAAAAAAATAAATAAAATAAAAAATAAAATCACTGTAAAAATGAAATGCTGGCTCGGCGCCTGTGCTCAAGTGGCTAAGGCGCCAGCCACATACACCTAAGGTGGCGGGTTCGAATCCAGTCCGGCCCGCCAAAACAACAATGACGGCTATAACCAAAAAATAGCTGGGCATTGTGGCGGGGCGCCTGTGGTCCCAGCTACTTGGGAGGCAGAGGCAGGAGACTCGCTTGAGTCCAGGAGTTGGAGGTCGCTGTGAGCTGTGATGCCACAGCACTCTACCTAGGGGGAATAGCTTGAGGCTCTGTCTCAAAAAAAAAAAAAATGAAATGCTATGGTGTCTCTAAGTTTGTTTAAAAATAAAAAATAAAAAAATAAAAATAATCTGGGGTCAGGTGAATGGGTAAGGTTATTAATGAAACAAAAATGACCAGACAGATGATGGATGCATGGGAGTTTATGATACTACTCTCCTTATTTTGGCATATCAAAAATTTTTCATGATAAAAAAATATTTTACAAAGTAAAAAAGAAATTACTTATCCAGTTTTTACGAGGTACTCGTTACACAACTAATGTGTAAAGCCATTTTTAATTAAAATATGAACATACTTTTCACAAAAAATAAAAATGAAATTGTAGGAAAAATTAATAAAGACATCATATTGATTAAATATTTCTGTGCAATCACAAAGTTCCATCATTAACAGAATGCACACATACATACATAGGTTTGCCCACATAGATACTTAGTAAAAGTTGACTCATTTACAGGACAAAAGATGTAATAGTCAGAGGGTACAAAAAAATGTATACACATTTTAAGAAAGGAAAAAAATATTAAAATTGTAATACTCGAGTCACATTTCACTTCTGCAATTTCAAGAGATAGTAGATATAATATACAAGATAACAAATGTTATTGGTATATGCCGATTATTACAGTTTTAATATAATTCCTTTAAATGTATACATTCTTCTGGCACCCTCTGTATAAACCAGGCACCACCATTCTGAGTGCTAATGATACAATGAAGAAAAAAAGTCTTTATCCTTAAGGATACAAATTTTACAGTCTAACAGGAGAGCAAGACTATGAAATAAACTTTCACAATGTGCTGTGTTTTAATATAGAAAATACGATTACAGTCAGCACACAGCAGGAGCACAATGCAGGAACCTTGTTTGAGATCAGAAACGTGAGTAAAGCCAGTCACAGAAGGATATATCACAAGACAGGTAAGGGGGGACGCGTAAAGAAATGTTACTGCATTTAAGGAGAAATGTGCCACAAAACCACTTTACTTCTCCCTGAGGAGTGAGTTTCTCAGACAGTGCTTTGACTTGAGGTGAGTCTGGAGCACTAGCTTAGACGCTGCAACCAGAAGTCATACTTTGGTTTGTATTGCTGCCCAGCTTTTTTCCAGATTGAGTTTTGAGAATGAGAATTTTACAACTTAACCCATTTTGTCCCTGAAGTAGAAAGGAAAAGGAACAATAAGAAGAAATAACTCACTTTATTTGTTGAAGTATCCCCATAGCAAGTCCCTAACTTACTTTTTCATAGCACTTACCACTTTATAATATACTAATTATTTATTTATTTCATTTCTCTTCTCCCATTAAAATGAATCTCCAGAAGGACAAGAATTTTTTGTTTTGCTTCTTTCATTATTCTATCCGCAGCACTTCTGACAAGAGAAAAAGACTCCTGACAATGCCTGGTGCATAGTGTAATTGCCCAACAAGCCCAAACAGGCCACTGTTGACAGCAAAATGTCAAGTTTCCTCGTAGGTGTAACAGAACCAAAAACTACAAGTCATGTACTTTGGGGTGTGCACAACTGAAAAAGCTTTGATGTCTAAGCTTTGACCTGGAACCAACAATTCCTCCTCTGGGAACCAAGAAGACCAGGACATGTCTGGAACCTGACTGCCAGGTTAGTCCATAAGATCCAGGGCTAAAATCCATCTCAACATACCTTACCACAAATGATCAAATTTGAAGCCTCCCAATCAGACCCTCCCAAGCCAACATTTCTAAATGCTTTCCCTTGTCCCTTAAGCCCATAAACTTGTCCCAGACTCCAGATCAAGGAGACAGATGTGAGCCTGACTCCTGCCTCCTTGCTGGCTACCTAGCAATAAAACCTTTCTTTTCTCAAAAACTGGTGCCATAGTAATTGCCTTCTCTGCACTTTGGCCAATGAGCCTATTTGATCTATAGCAACAATAGGTGCTCAATGAAACATTCTTAATGAATTAATGAGTTATACAGACTATTAATGGCTTTGAGAATGTTTATAAAATACTATTAACAATAAATTTCATTTCCATGTGTCTTTAAGTGTAATTTGAGAAGATTCTCTTTATCAGATCTCTATGTTCATCCTTTCAGATTCCAGTACATTAAAATTAATGTACAATGTTAATTTCTTATGTCCTTCAATTCTATGGTGTTTATTCATTGTAATTCCTTAAAGACCCAGGACAGCTCAACACAAAAACTTCTGTGTTCCCTGATAAACAAGAGAGTAGAAATCATTCTCTAATTCATTCTTATGTCTGGGCTACAGACCATAACTTAACACTTTGTCTCACGTATGTCCCAACTATAACTTCGCATTAAAATTTTTATTTTTATCTACTTGTTTAAAACCAGCTTTCAGGCCAGTGTATCTCACAACTATAATCCCAGCACTCTGGGAGGTCGAGGCAGGTGAATTGTTTAAGGTCAGGAGTTTGAGACCAGCCTGAGCAAGAGTGAGACCTCGTCTTTACCAAAAATAGAAAAACTAGCTCATCATAGTGGTACACACCTAAAGTCCCAGCTACTTGGGAGGCTGTGGCAAACGTATCACTTGGACCAAACAGTGTGAGGTTGCTGTGAGCTATGACACTACAGCACTCTACCCAGGTGACAGAGTGAGACTATCTCAAAAAAAAAAAAAAATTAAAAATAAAAAATAAATTAAATCAGCTTTCAACTTACTATTGCAAGAATTGTCATTTTTATGTCAAAACCTCCTTACCATTGTTATCAAGCTGCATATACTTGGCTTGGCGCCTGTGGCTCAAGTGGCTAAGGCGCTGGCCACATACACCTAAAGGTGGCGGGTTTGAATCCAGCCCGGGCCCGACAAAACAACAATGACGGCTGCAACCAAAAAATAGCCAGGCATTGTGGCAGGGCACCTGAGGTCCCAGCTACTTGGGAGGCTGAGGCAGGAGACTCGCTTGAGCCCAGGATTTGGAGGTTGCTGTGAGCTGTGATGCCACAGCACTCTACCCAGGGGGATAGCTTAAAGCTCTGTCTCAGAAAAAAAAAGATGCATATACTTGTTAACTAGCAAGATAATTAAACACTTCAAGGCAGCAGACTTCTGGGGTTCAAATTCAATCTCTAACAGACACTAACTTGTGACTTCAGACAAGTTACCTAGCCTCTGTGTGCCTTACTTTCCTCACCTGTAAATTAGTAGAATAATACATAGCTGCTAAAGTTTTATGAGGATTAAGTGAAAGTGTTTTAG